ATGTTAAATGAACTCAAAGCCCAGGAAATGCTTTTTAGTCCAGACTGGGTATTACCATTTTCAGCAGAATTCTCAAATTAAGAAAATTCTAGCTTTGGAAAAGGGTTGGACTGTTATTTTCTAGCTGTGCAACACTCACTGTGATACAACCATCATCCTTACAGACTTGAATTTTACAGTAAGAAAAACATATTGTACAAAGATTTGCCAAATTTGAAAAATACTTGAATAATATGCCATCATGCAAGTGAAAACTGTTGTGACATAGACCTGTTCAGGGACTAGAAGTCAATTGGCATAGACAACCTGTCTATGATATATTTTTGATATATTTTATTGCTACATTCAAAATCCTCCTCTTGGAAAATATGGAAATGCTAAATCTTCCTTAAAATTACGTTATATTTAACAACAGCTATCATGATATAAGATTTGGAATACCACATAATTCCATTTCATAATGCAATGTCTTTCACTTAATGTTTTCCTTTATAAAACCCCCCCAAACTTGGTATTAGAGACTGCAAATTGTGATCAAAGCTGTCCATTGCTAGTCATCCATGCTGTTAATAAACATTCAGTTTTTGCTACACAATCCTGCCTGCACAGCAGTTCAGACCCAAGTATTGAACACGGCAATCTTCTCTCATCCTATGGATGAGACCTCCATAGGACATCTCTTGGACACTGTCAGCAAGAACAAGGTCACAGGCCCCTGTGAGGTGTATTCACTCAGGTAGTCCAGCTGAAGTTTGCTTTTATAATCGCTCTAAGCTTCAAAGTTGAGTATCTTTCAGGACTGAGCCCCATGAATGGAAATTCTCATGTTCAAGTCTTTGCACACAGGCATTGAAGATCCCATGACACTTTATACAAAAGGAAGTGTGTTAACCCCAGTGTCCTTGCCAAATGCTAACTTCGTTAATTACAGCCTGCTTTCTTCAATGCTCCTTGCAGTTTTAATTAGAAATTGTATTATTCTCTTCCTGTACTACATTGTCACTGGTTGTTCCCGGTTAACCATTTGCTGTGCTAAAGGTTGTTTATGTTTTATCCAAAGCTGGCTGTATTTCAGAAGTGGGAAAGATGGCACATTATATTCTGCTATTTTAAATATTTCTGCTCTCATTCCTCATGAGCCGCTTGCATTTAAATTCCCTGAAACATATACATAAATATAAGTATCATGAATGCAAAGTTGGGAAATTATGTGACTTACAAGGGCTTCTCAGAACAACACAGGTATGAACCAATATGATACCTGCAAGCTAAGTCATTTGTTGGTACCTAGGAATTTTCATGCCCAAAAGTCTATGTTTCCACATCTAAATTGAAAACAACAACATGGTTCTGATATGGTGGAATCAGCTGGGTTTTTAAAGCATTTTGGGATTCATCAAGTTTCACAGTGCTGTAGAATTGTAAGATCATCATTGTACACATATGGTATAATTGTGCCATTTTAAGTGATTTGTACCTTTAGTAACATTGTGTTGAATTTTTGTGAAATTATGTGTGTGTATATATATATATATATACACACACACACACACACGCACACATACTTATCTTTTAATATAGGCCTGGAAGCTATTTGAAGCCTGAGTACTGCAAAAACTTTCCCTGCTTAAATGACACTATAAGCAATAAATTGCATTACAATGTATAGAATTTTGGTACACATCCAAACAGCTGGATATATTTTGACTCACAATTTCTATAACATATTGTGCTGTGTATTTTGATTTTATAATTTGAAAATTAGTTGCTTACAGATGTCTACACTTCTAAAAGAACTTCCTGTTTTGTCAGACAAAAAGCATGTTTCCTCTTATTGTATCAGCCAATTTCTACTATAAGATTGCTCAGTGTTCAGTAACATTAGCAAAGAAATTGCTTGGAATTTTCTATACTTAATATATCAATGCAGAGCAAATTCAGGAAGACAGTTTCAGCAAAATACTTTGACACATTTTTTGACTTTATATTATAAAAGTCTCTGGTAATCAGAAAAATTATTAATTTTAAAGGAAGCCTTTCTTATGTGATTTTTAAACTAAGAGTGTTTTGGAGATTTTCACGTTAGGAGCCCAGTGAGATTTCCTGAGAAGGTACACATTGGAGGCCTGCAACATTCTCCCCAAACTTTCTTCAGAGTCAAGAATAAGAGACAGAGATCATTCAGTTCATTTGGACACACTCAGTTGTCTAAAACCAGTCACATTAATCATTTTCTATTTCTTCTCCTGATCCTGAATCCTGATACTGAGAATTATTCCTTGCGCACTAATTCATAGCAGATTTTTTGTGCTAAGTATGAATGAGTGTGTGAAAGGGAGACCACCAGTGGCCGTATCCACAAAGCCATTTATCTGTCATAGCGGCCATTGCAAAACAATTCAGATTTCTACTGAATCACAGAAGAAAGAGACAGTTGATAGTGCAATTGGCACTAACTTTCCATAGCATTTCTTGTCACCTGTGCCAAGATGACAAGCCTGTAGTTTGTCCATCTTCCTTCTGGCCCACCTTGTAGATGGGCTTCACGTTTACTCCAATAACTGTGACCTCCTCAGTTAGTCAGGACTTCTGGTGAATGACTCGAGATGGCTCAGTGAGCTCTTCTGCCAGCTCTGTCAGGGCCCTCAGGTGAATTTTAGACTTTAGAAGTTTAACTAGACTTTAGAAATTTAACTATCTTTCAAGGATAAATTTGAATTTCTGTCTGAAAATTAGAATTAATCAATTAAGTATCTCATGTTTGTATCAAGTTGTGGTTTACATGCCTGTTTTTTTCATTAATGGCATTGATAATCTACTAAATTGAAGACTGCCACCAGTGTCATGCAAATTATTGAACTTATATACACACCTGTGTGAACTATGTAAAGAATGAGAGATGTGTATTTCTCATTTGTTAGATTATTTATTAATTATATTATTTTCAGAGGTTACTATTTCCTATCATTTCACAAAAACAGTAGCCTAAGTCATATAACAGCCTTGCCAAAGTCCACTGGAACCTGGATGTGTGGGAGTCACACTGACTCTCAATTTTTTATGTCCTTCTGTTTTCATATCATTTGAATAAACCAAATTCATTAACATGAATGTAGGAAGTAATTAAACATGATGAGAGCTAATATGAGTTCTCTCTTGTAATGTCTTTGTTCCCATCACTGGAACAAAGAAAATGCACAGGTAAAACTGCAGTGACTTCTGTAACACTTGTCAGTTTACCCCTCAAATGAAACAAAGGTACCTAACGTGAGAATGCTCTTAGCATTCAAATCCTGCATCTTAAACATAGCTTGTTCTGAGTAATACTCATCTGAATTCCAAACATTCTTTAAAAAAGTATTTTCATTGAGAGATCAAATGTATAAGCAGATTTTTAAAACTGATTTGGTGTTGTGCCTTATAATGGTATTCAAGAATTTTCAGTTTTCCTAAGTAATAGAGCTATTGTTTAAAAATGAGCAAGTTACTTATATTTGTTTAATAAGAATTCTGATTGCTTCATTTCACAGTATGTAATAGAACTGCGAGACTTTATCTCAAAATAGATACTCAGATTATCTAGTAAAGTTATTAGTTAATTTAACAAAATCATTATTTAAAAATAAAGCTAGTTTAAAATTCCAGTTTTAACATAAAATATAGGCAGCACTTCCATGGAAAAACTTCACACTGTGCATGTAATTGGGAAAATTCAAAGTAACTTGTGATGAAGCTCACAGTCTCTACAAAAAGAGAAATTACAAGAGTGATTCCCAGCAGACTTATGGTTGGTGTCTTGATGACCTGCCTGGAAAATTCCAGGTTGTATCAGGATCCATAGCTGATGGGCAAATCTGTAAAAACACATTTTCCTATCTATGAAAAACAATTTTCTTAAATAACTCCTAATTTCCTTTCATGCTTTACTGTCTCAAGTCAGTGTTTGTATCCACATATTTTTCACCCACTTTTTAATCCTTTTGGGTTTTTTTGGTGTTTTACTTTTGTTTACTTTTGCATTTTTTTCTCCGGGCCATGTGGACCCAAAATCAGTTTCTAAATCCTTCAGTGTTGACCACAAAAAAATCTCCAAAGATGTCAGCACAAATTTTATATGCATGATTAAAAAAGCCAAAAAAGTTTTTCTTTTACTGCAAAGGACCAGTGCTGAAAGGTTGGTCATAGTGTCATAGGAACTGAGCAAAGCCTGAACTGCTCTTCAGTAAAATTTTGCATATTTTACAGTTATTTCATATGTGTAAGTTATTGAAATAAAAGTAATTGTACAATTACCTGAAATCCACCTACATTAGCCTTACATTTCCTAGTGTTCATTCTATGGGTTTATTTAAATAATATTATATTATATTTTTTAAGGGAATAAGGATACTGGTACATATGATTATAAGTGTTAAAACCATTAGGTTATCTGGTCTATCATGACAACAATACAGTTCCTTTCCTCAAAGTATATTCTCTGATGTACTGTCCACTCTAATTTTAACTATTATATATAACTAGGTCCCTGAATATATTGCTGGACCAGGCCCTCTATGAGGTACCAATTCAGAGTTTAGAGTTGTGGTTAAGAGAATCATACTGGAGAGTATGGTCAAAATCAGCATGGTAAAGTTGACTTTCAACCTAATGGATATTTGAAGTGCAGACATGGCAACACTGGATTTAGAAAGTACAATTTGGAATCAATTGAAAAACAGACACCATGGCTCATATCTTGCCATCACTGTAGATCTGAAGCCCACACAAATGGCACCTGTAGAAAAATGGCAGACAATGACTCTGCTTTCAATTTTAGTTAATACTGTGTAACGGGAGTCCTTCCATTTAGATATATGTACATATACTCCTTCTAAAGAAAACCAGACTCATAACCAAAGATATTTTCTCCTTGCATGCATTGGTTTTTTAAAAAATCTTTTATGTCTTTTACTTATTTTAAATTTTTTCCCTTATTTTTCTTTCCTTTCCTACCCCTCAAGCTATCTAGCAGCATTTTGGATATATATAACAGTGAACAGGGAATGGCACCAGCTAATATGGGTCTCACAAATGCTTCTTGCCCAGCTAATCTACCAGTAAAAAGGGAGCTCACAGGTAAAAACTCTGAGATTTTAGTATATAACTGCATAAGTAATGGGGTGTGTCTTAAAAGTTGAATCTTATTCATGAAAAAGATATTCATAATTAAATTCCTGAGAACTTTCAGTTTCTGTTTTCATTTAATGAAAAGAACAAAGATAAATGAGAAATGTTTTCTTTCTGTTCTTCTCTTTAGAAATTCAGAAACCCTCTGTTTGCTCTTGTTTTCATGAACATTGTGCTTCCAAAAAAAAACCTTAATATTTTAGAAAACAGTATATTCTTCCACATGTTGGCTTCTGACCAACAATATAAATTATTATCATCCATTAAATTCGTTCCAGGGTAGAACAAATAGTTCTTTTAAAACTTTACAATAAGGCTATTCAAGGTAAAGCTATATTAGTGGATTACAAACTTTAAAAGTTACATTCAATTAATCCAAAGAATGCTAAAAATCATGTACAGTTTGTTAATGTCACTCAGAGGAAACAGTGAGTTTATTCAATATCTTACAAATCTGATTAACTCTTGCACTATGGGATGTAGAAAATCCATATTCATCTTAGTGTATTGTAAGTTTTATCCTGATGTAAAATACAGGAAATTGGAGAAAAATACCCCTCCATAGCATTTCTGTATTCTTACATTTTTAAAAAGTGCCATAAAAAAATGTTAAGCAACCTGCCAGACTTGTGTAAAATTTAGTACTGGTAGAATAAAGATTTTTCTATGATCTGTTTTAATAATAAAAAAAGTAATGCGGTAAAAGGACTGGAAATCTGGTCTCTGTGACAAGAGGCCATTTTCAGAAGATGAAAGAAGTACTGGAATTGCATTTTACGGACTATTTTAATAAATGTTACTTTCTGTCAGAAGCAGATACAAGAGCAATGGCAAAGGAGAGACAAAAAAAGGATAACCACAATCTCAGTAAGTATACGTTCATCTTCCATCTCATTACATGGAATGTATGGAAAATGCAAAACCATGATACATCAGCTACCACATCTCTGCTCCTCTTCTAGACCAGCCTCTCAGCAGGCCAACTCAGACTGCAAAAACAGCTGACCACAAAGTTTTCTTTCTTGAAAATTAATTTATGTCTCTGACTTTTGTCTTTCAAAATACTTTGCATATTGCAATTAATTTATTTCCATAAAATCTCCTGCTATTATTTTTTCACTGTAACAAACTTGATGTTTTCTCTAAGAACTACAGTGCAAAGCAGAAAAGAAAGGAGTCAGGTTATGAGAAAAACACCACTGAAAATCCAGTCGTCACACCTTATTTACTGAAGTGCCAAAGCAAGAGACTGTATCTCTTTATGGGTGATGGGGTAGGAAAAAAAATTGCATCAGATAACTTCTAAGTGGTTGCTAACCTCTTAAGGTTAGATGGACAACAGTGCAGATATGTGCAAATGATTGGCATGTTGGTTTTAGAGAAACAGTCTTAGAAAAGTAAAATTCATAGTTCAGTGTCTATTAGAACACTGAATATTAGAATTACAAAAATAGAAAATATTTTAGTATATATAGAATAGGAAAAAGAATGCCATCAGAATCATTACTGGGAGATTGCCTATAAAATTACACAATTTTTCCCTCTAAAGCATAATTTGAAACAAAAAGGCTGTAGGATTCTTTTTGGAAAATGTTGAATAAAGCAGTTAAAATTTTCAATTTCTCCTTTCCCATTCTTCCAACAGAAATAGTATGGGAGTTGGATTCAATGATCCTTATGAATCACTTCCAACTTGAGATATTCTATGATTCTATGAATTTAAACCTAAATTAGTAATTAGTTAATAGCCACTATTTATGTCTTTATTATCTTACTTCTGTCTTGTTTCTTTGGCTATTTGATATCCAGTAATCAAAGAGGGATTTATGACTTTACTTGTTTGAAATTCCATATCTGAAATTATACATCCACTGGCACAATGTGCTAGCAATCACTGTGGACAATATTCTGCTACTTACAATTTCCAGAAGGCATCCTTGTATCTGTCTGTAATTTTTTTTTTTTGTGGGTTACAGGCAGACCATGAAGATTTTTAGATACGTTGTTAGCATATAATCTCTGAAATGCCAGTGCAGCTGCTCTCTGTCTTGTTAGGGCAGAAATGGGGAGTTTTGCTGGACTAAGAAAAGGGGGTGGGTAGGAGTTATCTGGAGCTACAAGGGGAAAGAGAGGCTCATCATAGATACATCAGGGATGCCATGGCTTACTGTTGTTTGCTTTGGCTTATCACAGTCCCTCCTGATCCCAGAAGAAACGTCTGAGAACTTTCCCTCCCCACTGGCAGCTAAACTGAAGGGCGCTGCAGACAGGCAGCATCTCTTTTGGCTGGGCTCCAGGTGTACACTGCAGAGCCCAAAGGCTCTCTGGACACAGCTCTGCTCTCTAAAGGCTTGGACATAATCATGCAGTGAATATAAAGGCTTCATCAGTGTGATTTACTCTTTTAAGGGGATCTGGTTTCTCAGTGATGGTCTGAAAAATCAGTTTTTGAAAGCTGATTGGAATTAAACAAACTTTCAATTTTGAGGTTGAATTAAGGCCTACATTTCACAGAAATGTTCTTGTACATTCTTATAACAAGGAGCAATAAAGACACTGGAAAAAAGTTCCTTTGAAAGACTGTACATTGAACAAAACCAAGAAAAGGGAGTTCAATTTAAGAAGTGGAACCCCTTCATGCAACAGAGTTTAAAACATTGCCTACCTAATGTTTCTTAACTTCGGGGTTTTTTGCTTGTAAACAAAGAATGTCATATTATAATCCTGTGCATGCAGTTTGAAAAATAATTTTCTAATTTGGCTTATATATAACTTGATTTTTCAAATATGGCTGATAACTCAGGATATCTCTGGAAAGGTTACAGATGCACATCAGGAAAGTTCTATTGCAACATGTTTCCAAGCTTAAAAATCTCCCTTTCCAACTCATTGACACAACCACTGCAAGTTTCTTTTCAGGAAAAAAAAAAGCAAAAATATAAAGAAAAAGGAATTCTGCAAGTGTTCACTTGTAAGGATATTTTTTCATTGCCTTGTTTTATAGCTAATGCTTAGTTGACTACTTTTTTATTAATATTTTAGAGTCTCTTACAGTGTAAATATTTATTAAACAACAGCTAATATGCCATTGGACAGTATAGTAAAAGCAAATTCTTCAATTTTGTTTGCCATGCAATTATTTTGCCAACACAACTGAAATATATCTTTTAAATTTTCCAGTTGCTCTGTGTTTTTGTACACTGGGCTCTCCTACAAGATCCAGCACATTCATTGCAATGTGATGCAGGGGCTCACTGAGCTGTACAGTCAGGAGGATTATAACCCTGTCTTCTGAATATGTGAATCAACACCAAAAAAACGGAGATGCTTTAATTTAAGTGAAATTCCTGTTTCTGTAGAAAGCAAGACAAGATAATGCATCCCCCCAAGGTAGAGGACATTATCAGAGTAAATAATAACACTCAGGTTGTTCCTGGAGCTTGAGCCTGCTAGGGAGGAAATAACTGACTGCTGCACAAACCGAGGAGCCTCACACAGACAGAAAGCAAACCATTTTATATACAGGAAGAAGAGGACTAAAAGTGATCCAGGTGGTGGGGCTGAGACTGAAATGACATGCTCATATGTGTTTGAGAAGATTGAAGTCAGCCTTGGAAGACCCGCTAGGATGCCCTTGGCTGAACACTTATAACTTAGCTCTACTGGGCTTTTTGTATTTATATTCAAAATTAGGCCATTAGACTTTAAGTGTACATCTCCAAACATGGTGGTTTTTTTCATTTTCTCTATTTTTTAAAAATGATCATAAATATTTTTTGTGCTATCCATCACCAAAGGAAAGATGTACAGGGGTGAAGTGATTTTGGGACATAATCTTGTTCTGTTTTAGTGAGTGGATACAGCTGTAGTTATGTACTCTCTGTGGGTTTAAATGCTGGTAATTGTAAATAAGGGCTAATGAAGCTGTTACCTTGTGATTTGTAACAGGAGTTCTGCCAAAATATCAATTGCTGGGTGAATTGTCTGGTATCCCTGTTGGAGTCACCAGCAAGACTCCACTAAGCTGAAATCTCTGTTCTGTGGGAGCATGGTGGAGAGAGAATATATAAACATCAGGAAAAACAAAATGTTAGATCACATTTAGACAATATGTGACTATTTCATTTTCTAGAAATTGAATTGTAAATGGGGGGAAATCCTGTAGTTCAGGTAAGATACAGATGGTACTAATGATAGACTTTGTCCTGAGACTAAGGCAGAGACAGATAGGTGCTCATGTTGGGACTGCTATTTGAGGAAGACTTTTTCTATATATTGACTAACATGTTTTTAACTAATTAAAATGTTTTATGTGTAATTTCTCCAAAAATATTTCAGTGTAAAAATAGTAAATGTTTCTTTTTAACAGTTGAGAGAAGAAGAAGGTATAATATTAATTACCGAATCAAGGAGCTTGGCACACTCATCCCCAAGTCTAATGATCCGTGAGTTCAACTGTCTTTCCTATAATAATGTTTATAGTATTAATACAGGAGAAAAGAGACAGTTGTGAATATTGGCTATAGGATTGAGAAATGGGATACAAAATCTTCCATACCAGGTCACTGGCTCAGATCAGGCTGTTGAAGTAACAAACCTTTGACAGATTTTTTGTGCCTGTTGAAAAACTTATGTGAAAGCATAATAATATGAAAGCAATTTCAGGGTGTTTAAGAGAAACTGCCACTTAAAGGGAAAACAAACAAACAAAGCCAACCAACAGAAAGTCCATCTCTCTGTCCCTGAGCACAGTTGTGTGGTATCTCAGTAGAAGGAAGTAGTGATGCTTTCAGCTCTTGCCATGGCCCTCTAGTGGGATAACAAAAAATTTATGTTGCCACTGTCTGCCCTCAGACTAAAAGAAAAAAAGAATCAATTTAAGAGTCTGTAGACTGAGCATTTTTCAAAAGTCCTCAACTCATTGCAGGGAAAGCACCAGTCCTAAAATGCAAGGATAAAAGTAATAATTGCTATAATAATATCATTTTATACTAATGCATATACTTACAGAAACACAAAATGCATATTTCTTGAACTATATGCGCATTCCCTTAAAGCTTATATTTGTCATCAGCAGAAAAAAGCTGCCTTGGAGAAAAGCCCATTGCAGGATTAACAATTACAATTCAGAGTGATTTTTAATGCAGAACTTTAGCCTTAGATTTCTCTTGTCACTCAGGGAAGACTTAAGACAATGCAGCAGCATGATTGTAACTTGCATAAAATTGATTATACAGATTTTGTCTTTGTAATTTGCATGTCAATACAGATGTGCATGATACTCCAAATGAAAACATCTATTGATATTTCAGCTTTTTTAACCTTAAGACTAAGAAACTTTTGATTACATTAAGGATTTATGCAACAATACAAAGCTGTGTGAGGCTTGCACAAGTAGAAGGTTGGCTTTATTTGAAGTGAAGCCGCCAGAGAGAAAGTTAACATACTGCATCCATTTTAGAGAATTCACAAACTCAGAGCCTTCTGTAGCATCCACCAAAGAATGGATAAAATGGCCATGTTTTTTTGTTATTAATATGGAATTAGGTTTTAAAACTGAATTAAAAAACACCTTAAGTACCTAAAGTTTTGGACATGTGATCCATTGCAAGCAGAAACTGATAGAAGCGTTTTAATTTTGCTGGTTCATCTTTCTGTATTCAATACCATTTGGGCAAGTAATTGAAAGATTTCTCAGAAAAACAGTGGATGGCACTGTTGGTTTGCAGCTATAAAGCAAAAATAGAAACTGGAAATGCAGCAATTAGAGATGGGCATGGGGTACAAATTGCAGTTGCACTTTTTGATTGCCTATAAAGGTGTTTCACCTACATGTTTTGGTGTGGATTCAGGTTGACTCTGTGAACTTAATCAAAACATTAATACCTAGAGTAATCATTTAAGCTTTTCTTAAAATGATTTACCTGGACCTGCAGTTTTGCTTCAGTAAGTGGATGATGGACTTCACCCTCAGTTTTTGGTGTTTCTGCCTGATGAAAAAGTTTCAGGTATAGACTCTGAAATCATTGCCTTATCTTGTTTTAGTTTGCAAACCCATGACTGAGTTCAGCAGTGTGACCAGACCCAGAGTGGTTTATGTTTACAAAGGCACAAGGTGAACTTAAGTATCTCACATTCTGAAGGCTGCTGTCTTCAAACGGCTGATAATCAGTACTCCTTTGGAAAGTAGGCCTACTGAAAAGCTTTTAAGCTGGTGCTAAGAAAAAAAAAAGGCATCAAAACCTGCAGGGCTTTTGAAAAAACAGTTTGCAACACAATTTTGCTATAGCTTAGTGCAAGGATAAATTAATTCAAAGAAATGTAAGTAGTTGTTTTGGGGTTTTTTTGTATTTGTATTTTTAGGCAGAAATATATTCATTTGAGCATTTAAACAAAACATTAATTTTTTTATTGGCTGAGCAGATCAACATTATTATTACCTTTTGGTATGGTCGTGTTTTGCCAAATCATAACTCAGCATCCTTATTCTCTCTTTCAGTTCTTTCTTTTTACTTCATAACAACTTACTGTGCCCCCAGTCTGCCCCCTCTGCTTTGAAAGAAAGAGATTTATCATGGCTTGCAATACCTTATCTGTAGCATTTTATCACACATAGCATTTTTGCCTCATATTGATTTCAGAAGATTCTTCTTAAAGTGGAAACTTAGTTGTAAAAGGAGAAAGCTTACTGATGCTTAGACTAATGACAGGGAAGAGAATCAGCCTCTGCATTGAAGAGCAAACAGTACTATAACTAAGCCATTGTGGTTAGCATGCCTGTCCCAGATGGCTTGCTTCAAGAAGATTACATTCAGAATCAGAAGCAGAAAAGGACATTTTTTATGCCATTTGGAAACCTTTTGTGATTTATATTTCTTAGAAGTGCTGTGTGGGGTTTTTATTTCACTTTTGTTTTGTTGGTTATGTAGTGAGCTTGTTTGGCTCCTGCAGAGCTTCTGCAGGGACTTTCTTTTGACTGGATTAAACCCCTATTCTTTTCACTTTTTTCTTTTTTTCTTAATTTAATGATGAAAAGTGTGGATTACATTACATAAATGAATGGGTGTTTTAAGTTCACTTCATCAGCATTAGAAAATGAAGATAAATGTAAGTTACAAAGAACTATGACTCTTTTGTTTAACTTTCAATGCTTAGATATCCAAGTGCTAGATGATTCAGAAATGCAAATCAGTTTTAAAGAACAAAATTCAAAAATAGAATTTAAAAATGCCAGAAATACTCAGCCATATTTTGCTGAAAAACTCATAACCTGCTCCTTTAATTATACCTGCCTTTCTATTTGTGTTCAACCTTTCAGAATCCACCTTTTAGGTGGTTAACAGGATTCCTTATTGTGATGGAGTCTGGCAATGCCAGTTTAATGGTAGTTGGACTTAAATTCCCAGAAAGCTAAATGAGAAAAAGGAATTCTAGTAATGTTGCAGAGCTGGAATGCTAAGAGAACTGCTGAGGATTTGGGCAGAAGCAGTGGGCTGCTCTCACTCTTTCCTTTCTGCTCTCTGCATGTACCAGTGCCTGACCTCTGTGCTGCCTGTGGACAGACTCTCTAGCAGCCAGCACAGACACATGCCTTGCAGAGGAAAAGCTTGTGTACACTCATGCTGTTATGAAGTGGAAACTTGCTGCCTCTTTCAGAATAAAACACTTTGCAATTGTGCAAGTCCTCAAAACACGTACAAAGTCCTTCCAAGTACTTTGAGCAAATTTCTTTAGTTTAAAGATAATTTCTCAGAAACAGGGAGAGAAATGTTCTGCAAACACAGTTTCAGCTTTGCAAATGTATTTGTTATTAGTAACTGGCCTGTCTCTGGCAAGCTCTGTAACTATCACACTCTCTCAAACACTGCTTTTACTAATTAGTTCTAATCTTAGATGGCCACGTGCTCCCATCCTTCCTACAGGTGTTCAACTTCTGTAAACTAGTGAAGCTCCTTTGCCTGCAACGAAGTTTAAATAACGGAATGAGCTGATGATCAGTCTCTTTTCTATGTTTTGTTTCTCCAATATAGGAAACTCTACTTAGTGAGAGTTACATGTTTTGTTCTGGGCATTTGAGTTTTGTAGAGAGATTCAGATGATAAAGAGGAGACAGGATTCAGAGACTAATAAAACATAATGTGTTTTTTACTTTTTTTTTTTAATTTTCCATAAAAATCTTATTATTTTTGATTGGCCTCTGTTAATTAAACTCACTAACATATCTGTGGATTGCTAGAAACTTCAAATTACTCTACCACACAGACACACAGGAGCAAAGAAGCAATCGTCCTTTGCATCATTTCTGATGACCAGACTGGCAAAACATCTTACTGGTCTCAAATGACTTGGCTTGAATATAAAATTTCCCATGTACTTCAGAATTTACAGGATGGTGCATGCATTTAATAAAAATCATGACTAAGAAAACAAATGCCAAAAAAACAACAACAACAAAATACTGAAAACCAAAAAAATCCAGACCAAATGGAACTGAAAGATCAAAATGAAGAAAAGAATTCCTGCCGTATCTGAAGATCAGTAGGTCTATACCTAAGTTTTTAGAATCAAAACAGTTAGGAATGCAAGTATTTTGTCTGTTTTCATACAGAAACTTCCAATTAAATTAGTAACAACTAGTAGTGATTCCTCAATTTTTGAGGGTTCTAAAAATGTCTTTGTAGGGCTTTTCATTTCAGTTTTTATCTCTAAGTGCAATCAACAAATCTCTAAAAAGCAAAAACTACGATTTCCTAGTGACATTTTTATAACTTTTCAGGTAGTTTTATTTACACCCAATTTAGAATTCATTGTTTTCAGAGAAATAACAGAGACCAAATAACTGATCAGAGACATTCTGAATTCCTCTTACGCACTTCTTGTGCTTTGAGTTAATCAGCTTTCAAATGTTGAGTTGCTTTTTCTTCCCATCACAGATGAATCTGCTTGCCTGCCTGGTCTGTAGATCTAGATGCACTTCAGACTATTGGTATGCAGGAATCTCACCTTTACCAACCCAAATTTGCCTTCATGCTCACCAGTTGCATTGTTGCTCCCCCAGCCCTGCACATCCGCACAGAGCCTCTGGTGCTCTGCAGCACTGTCCTGTGGCTGCTGTCCCTGGGCTGCAATGAGTGAAGAGTGCCTGTGATGCAGAATCAGCACAGACACCTCCAGGATTTTCCTTAGGTCCTGGTAAAGAGAGACACAGAGTGAAATACATGTTCACTTCTAAGGTGATCAGCTGGTGATCAGATTCCTTTGCTATGTTGCCTTCAAACACTGGAAGGTTCAGTATTCTTCATTTAATAAGAATAGGTTCAATAGGTTCAATATTCTTCATTTAACCAGTGTTTGTACATATGAGAAGTGATGTAGAACCATATGTGGGGTACACACACATGCACAGACACATACACGTGTACACAGTTTAAGGAACAGTCTCTTAAATAACAATAGTACCTCTGCTTTTCAGTCTCTTAAATAACAATAGTACCTCTGCTTTTTTATCCTAACTCTCCATTAGAGTTTTGCCTCTCAGATCTGTAAATATTACCACAAGAGATATCTATCCATATGTATCTCATGCAAAAGCTGACCAGGTCCATCTCTCTGGCAGTTTGAATCCAGGCATTAGGCCTTCAGGGAAGATTTATTCAAAACTACGAAAAAAATTGCCAAAGAAATAAAAACTAAAACTATCAAGGAAACATGAAGTAAAAGTAAGCCATATCACAAGATGATATTAAGTGTAACATGAATTAATTTAATCAAAAAACATTCCAAATACAGTAATGAACATATGACTTATTCATATGTCAATCAGAAAAATCAACCAAAAATAATTTTGTCTGATTTTGAATTCATTAATTTTTTTTTTGTGAAAACACTATGATATATTTTCTAAATGTGTGATATATTCAATTTTTTTCTGCTGCTGTTACATTTCCTCAATTATTTCCATTTTTCAAGCTAGGGGTTTATTTCTAATTTCATAGTACTATATCTTTAGGTTTGGACCATCAGTTCAAACCTGTCTTAGTTTTAAACTCTAATAAGTTTTTAGCACTTATTAGAGACTAACCTCCTTGTCAAGGCAGATTGTGTTTCTCCATTTATCATATATAGCTCTTGTCTGAGATGGGAGTGGAGAATCCCTGTCTGAAAAGTTCTTGTCCTGCTAACTTTATTTATTTTATGTAGCTTCTTTATTCATGAGTGGTGTGGCATAGACAGACAAGCCCTTTACTGATTTCAAACTCCACTGTAATTTAGTCATAAACAGAGACCTCTCAGTATTTTTACCTAACTTTCTGAAAGGGTGTGGTGGAAATGAAACTGTGACATGGTGATGGCAGTGACAGATTGTCCAGAAAATATGTCTACTAAAAGCTTCCTTAACCTGTACAGTTTAACCTAGGTAAGCCATTTGAGAGGAGATTGTCCTCTCCTAGGAGGGTGCCTGTGGGATGCTGGCAAGAAATTCTGTCCTCTCACCTGCTCAAGAGGGACAGGGACAGGAAGGAGAAGGCAGAGGAACTGCCAAGAGATGATTCAGCCATCATGGGAGAGTTGTTATTATTCTGCTCTTGGCTCCCAGTCCCACCTCTGCTCTAGCCTTTTGACCAGGCAATCATATCTAAATCAGAATACATACCCAAGACAGTAGGGTTGTAGACAACAATTATTTTCTCTCTGACCTCCTCAGCCTTGAATCCCAAAAGCTGTGCATTTCTGGCCTGCAGCACTGAGAGGAGGCCAGGTCCCTGAATACAGGAGCCTCACAGTTTGTGTGTTGTCCAGAAATAACTGACATTTGAATTTGAGCATTCTTGGATTAAAAAAAAAATGTTACTCCCAAATCTTTAGAAAATTACCTGAATTCTGTGGCATGGTTAAACACTGTGATGCTTTACCACAACTAATTTTGCATTTGCTTCTTAGTGTTTTAAAGTTATCAGCTCCATAAAGTTTTTTCCATGGTAAAGCCTCTGGAAAAACAGGGTGGTCTGGGTCCCTAAATCCTGTACCTCCCTGGCTTTTGCACTATACCTTCAGGCAATAAATCACTGAAGAAATCTCACAAGGTGCTCAGCCTCATGAGGGGAAGTGGAGGGGCAGGCACTGATCTCTTCACTCTCGTGACCGGTGATGGGACTCAAGGAAATGACATGAGGCTGAGTCAGGGGAAGTTTAGGTTGGAAATCAGGAAAAGATGGGTAGCTGAGCACTGGGAACAGGCTCTCCAGGGAAGTGGTTATGGATCCATGCCTGGCAGAGTTCAAGAAGTGTTTGGACAATGCTCTCAGGCACATGGTGTGACTTGGGGTGTCCTGTGTAAGGCCAGGAGTTGGAATCACTAATCCTGATGGGTGCTTTCCAACCCAGCATATTCTATGATTCTATGAATTAGGGAAGGTGATAATAGCTGGGCATACTTTTTTTCCTCCATAAATGACAGCATGTAAATATATGTCTTTGGAAGAGGTATTAAAAAATGCTTGTCCTTCCCAACATCAGATTCTTACTTGCTCTTAAAACAGCTTTGTGTTGGTTTGGGACAAGAAGATTGACCAACCTTCTGCTCAGCCTACGCAACTTGCAGTGAAGTAGATAGTTTGGATAAAGCCCATTTAACTGCATATTTAATGCAGTGAACCCATCCTGTATCATAAAATACTGAAATTTATTAGAAACTAAAAATTTTTAGCAAAATTCATTATTGTTCCAAGACCTTACTTAAAGGAATGTATGATTGATAAATGGATACATGAAAGTCTTGGACAGTTTAATTTGAACAAGTGTTCTGTTGCTAGTGAGGCTGCTTGTAAGCTGGAAGTCAAACCATGATTTCCTGAATGATGCACAGGATTAATCTAATTGTTTTGCAAAGCTTTTATTTTGAGTTGAGGTCTGCATATAGCTGTAGATTTTAACTTGTTTTTTAAATTGTTTCAAGATTTTTGAACATGATTTTTGTCATTCCCTAGTCATTATGGTTATGAAAGTGTGATTTTTCTGGTCTGTCATCAATGAGGAGTGGCATTCAGCACAGATCATTTTTTTCTCTACAAGCATAAAAGCAACCTCATTAGTAAGTCAGGTAAAAGAAGTAGTATATTCAAAATGATCTTTAAAAATTTAGGCTTAAGTCCTCAGTAATGTATATTTCCTAGTTCATTAATGCAGAAATACTGCACATAGATTTTAATCTCAGAGTTAATAATAAAAGCAATTTTCACTAAAAATATAAAAACTGTAATGGTAGAATCATGATATTGCATTTAGCTCTCCCACAAAAAGTCACTTTATTACTTTCTTTTGACACTTATTTTCATTCTGGGATTAATTTTACTATATAAGGGCTTCTTAACTATTCTATTAAAATTTCCATTCAGAAGCAATAATATCTAAGAGTGAATAATAGTCATGTAAATCATTATTTCATATTAATGTAAAAGATTTTGTAAGTTCTTATGAATTCTGCTGACATGCACAATTGTGAAAAGGTTATCTCTACATTCTGCAGTGATATGCGCTGGAACAAAGGAACTATTTTAAAAGCATCGGTGGAGTACATCAAGTGGCTACAAAAAGAACAACAGAGAGCCAGAGAATTAGAACACAGGCAGAAGAAATTAGAGCATGCTAACAGAAGACTTCTGCTCCGAATTCAGGTTTGTATAAGCGTTGCCATGAACTACAAAGCTTTCTCAGTACTTGTCCCCCATTAAATTTTGTTAATCTATATAATTTTTCCTCAAATTACGTTTATTAAAAATAAATTGACTTTGCCTTTTTATTTCTGTGTATATTGGGGAGGGCGTATTCTTTAGATTTCTAGGAAACTTCTTTGATAATTATACTTTGCATAAAGTAACTAGTGGAAAAGTAATAAAGTATTTGTACAAACAGTTTCATGTGTTAGAAACAAAGACAAAAAAAAAAAAAAAAAGGAAATAAGCATATTTCTGCAGCCAAAAATCAAAAAATCAATGCTGGTCACAAAGTTCCCTTCAGTATTTTAATTTTCCCTTTCAAAGTATTTAATGCATTAGGCTCCCCAGTAAAAGACTATCTTATGTTATGTCTGCTTTTGACACTAAGAGGTAGAATATAGCCCTTCATGGCTTAAAAAGCAATATTCTAACATAGACACACACCTATGGAAATGGGATGGGTAGATAGGTAGATATAAAAGCGATCATCTTACATATATTGATTTACTTATATATCTGTATAATATCAGCATTATCAACTAAAGAATTTTTTTTCTTTAGACAACAGCTTTATAATGAATTACCAAGTTGCAACATTTTTCCGCTACCTTCATTGCATTCGGTGTGCAATGGTTTTAGAGAGGCTGTCCTACCTCTTCTGCTCCCGTATAATAGTTACTTAATGACAAAAAGGAATGTAAAAACGCTTAGCAAATTTTCTTAGATAAGAAATTTTATATTTTAAAATTTAATCTCACAACTGGGCAAGAGGTACAATAAATTTTCATGCATGATGTGTGTATTTTCTGCAATTGTTCTGAAAAGAGTGTTTTCTCTTTTAAAATTGTTGTCCAATTATTTCTGTTTGAAATGTTAGGAACTGGAGATCCAGGCGCGTGCACACGGCCTTCCGGTCATGTCTTCGCTCAGTGCTGTCGATTTAGCAGCACAAGTCATCAAGCAGCAGTCTTACCCAGAGGAGAACTCTGTAGACTACTCTCAACAAATGCCTCTGGTACATGGACAAAATTCTGATGTCTGCGACGGATCTACAGCCTTTTCTGATCCCCTTTCTCACTTCACGGATTTGTCCTTCAGCGCAGCTTTGAAAGAGGAACAACGACTAGAGGAGATTTTACTGGACGACACAGTGTCACCATTTGGAACAGACCCACTCTTGTCCTCCACATCTCCAGCTGCATCAAAAGAGAGCAGCAGGAGAAGCAGCTTTAGCACAGATGATGGAGATGACTTATAAAAGCAGAAAGGGTCTCATACTTCTCTAAACATTTGTTAAAAGACTTAGTTATATGTAAGCGTGGTGTTTGCTCTTATTTTAAATACCTACAAGGAGAGACACTGTAAGAATCAATTACTACATGACAAGGATTTCAATCAGCCCTTACTTCGCAAGAAAATAAGATGGACATGAACCCATATCACTCTGCCCCAAATTCACCCTCTGTTCACAGCCAACATTTGCATAAATTTCTCTTCACTGGGAATATTTTTACTATCACTTCATGACTTTTATCAGTACTATGAAAATGGTTACCAAAAAGGAATACCCATGTTGCAAAACTGTATTCAAACTCTTTTCACACATTTCTCTGATACAAATATGAGATTTAGTAATTTGCTAATTTCTTTTTTTTCTTTTTTTATAACTAAAAGTTCTACAGAATTTGAAGCAACAGAAAAATATTTAAGCTGGGAACTGTAGAGATGTTACAGGTTTTAAGATCTAAAAATGTCAGATGGTAATGCTTTTACACAGGCATGAAGTTTAAACTGTGTGGGCTTCTCTTTAAAAGGACAAAATCCATTAAGCTTTCTATGGAATGCCTTTAGTTTTTTTTATTATTATTTCTTTTGTAGGAAAAGGACACTCTTTTAAATATCTATTTTAATGACACAGAAGAAAACTGGAAACTAATGCCATGACAGTGATTCAAATGAACTCAGACAGAAAAAGATACAGCATTGCAGCAGCAAGACTGTGTGGATATACAAGACAGCACAGACACTCCACGTTACACTTAGCACAATTTAAAACAAGCACTACTTGTGACAGTGCTATGTCAGCTATTTATTCCAAGAATATTCAAACTGTGTACTTTTTTATATGGAAGAAATTGGAATTCAGATACAATACTGGGCTGCTGGATGACACTTTCAGTGTCCTTTGACAGCACAGTGGGGCTTTTGCAAAGGGACTCTATCTGTGCATGTGCTTTTGATCCATTTGGAAGCAGAGGGAAATGACAAGATTCCCATTGCATGCACTCTAAACAAGAATTTAATTTCATATTTGGCTTTGGACTCCCTGCAGAAAAGCTTGAAAGGAAGACTTGTCAAACTGAAGGCAATATTCAGAAACACTGATGTGATGCACTGCCTCTCATAACCAGCTTGCTAGGAGGGGGCATTCAGAAAACTCACTTCTATACATAGTGAAATTCTGGAAAGTGATGTATGCTCCTAAAGAACATTAAGTGCAATCATTCCAATTGTAATATTAAAACATAAGAATATAAACTGAAACAGGTTCTTCATAGCTCTTCCTCAATCAAAGCAAAAAGATCACATTGGGGAGTAGTTATGGATTAACCCAAACCTCATGCAGCCGCCAGAGTGACTGGGGAGAGAATTGGAAGGGTAAAATCTGGAAAGCTCTTGGATTGAGATAAAGACAGTTTAATAGGGAAAGCAAAAGCTATGCACACAAGTGAAGAAAACAAGGAATTAAGTCACTGCTTCCTATGGGCAGGCAGGTATTCCACCATCTCCAGGAGAGTGGAGCCCCATCACAGCTAATGGTGACTTGGGATGTCAAATGCCATCACTCCGAACATCCCCTTCCTCCTACTTCCCCCACTTTATGATTTGATATGGAATATGGAATATGGAATATGGAATCCCCCTCAGAGGGGGACTTGGTGTGGAAAATCCCTTGGTCATTTGGGGTCACCTGTCCTGGCTGTGTCACCTCCCAGCCTTCCATGCACCCCCAACTTCTTGCCAGTGTGTCAGCATGAAAAGCAGAAAAGGCCTTGGCTCTGTGTAAGCCCTGATCAGCACTAACAAAAACATATCTGTCCAGCACAAATCCAAAATACAGCCCCACACTAGCCACTGTGAAGAAAATTACCCCAGCTGAAACCACCACAAGAGTTCTGTAATGATTCAAAATATGTCTCAAAAATGCATATTAATTGTGCTGTCACTGAGCCTACCTCACTTCAGAAGTGTCACAGGTTTGGAAATAGTAAGAGATCAGTGGATCACTTTTTGCATGAACATTTAAAGTTTTTAAAAACATACTATCCAAAACCAGAGCAATTGTTTTTTACCATTGCCTCTTTTGTTATTGGTACCTGGGCCCTCCTAACAGTCCTTGTGAGGTTTGTGTTCCTGCCAGGCCACAGCACATGCCTGACCAACCCTGGCAGTGTCACAAGAGTTTCATAATTGGAAAATTAGCAGGTGGATAATAAATCACACTCAGATGGCTATGAAAGATGATGGTGTGTCCAATTTCACAAGAATATTTACAATTTTAGGAATCTCAAGGTTTTCTATGAGTTTGTACAAACTACTTGGATGTAAGGTGACTGTAAGCACAGACCTGACCATTAGAAGAGGCTTTAATACACTCCCACTTCATGGATAAAAACTAGAAAACAGACATGTTCTGGTAATTTTCTTTTGTTTTGCTTTGGTGTTTTTGTTTGTTTTTTAATTTTTTTGTTTGGTTTAGCTTTTTTATTTTGGGGTCTTTGGGGTGGGTTTTTCTTTTTTTTTTTTTGTTTGTTTGTTTGTTTTGTTTTGTTTTTGTTTTTTGGGGTTTTTTTTCTGTTTTTTTTGCACTTTTTCTTTGTTTTGTTTTTATAGCATATCAGAAAGACAAACAAGTATTAACCAAAGATAACTCAATATAGGACTCACCACCATCTTAATTGGGTTAAATAAAAGAGGAATCACTTTGACATAGTTTTGTCAAAGACAATTGCTAATATTGACATCTGAATACAAAACACGATGAATTAAAAGTAACATTTATGCCCATATTATGTCTAGCCTCATATGAGTATTGTCCATTTCAGCAGATGAAAGGAAGTGTTATTTGGTTAATATCAAATGCCATTTGTCCTTGTACTGCAGTTTCTACTACATTAGTTTTAAATACACCAGTGTGGATTGCTCATAATGGAGAAAAAGAAATTAAATATGAATGTATTACATGATTTTCCCATTGAACTTTTGCATGTGAGTTAGACCATACTTCTGAACTATACTGACTTTAAATAACATCCTGAATTTCATCACTTTTATAAGCACTGTTCTAAAAAAACATTATAGTGCATCCATTAAATTTTTTAAAGTTGATTTTCATTCTTCTGACAATTGCTTCAGTCTAAGGGACCAGAATTTTTCTCTCTGTCCTTGCATGAGAAACTTAAGATAGTCAATGCTCTTTTTGCAAGGCATTGTATTGCATCTATCATTGAACATACTCAGGCTGTTTTCCTGCACACAAAGCCCCCAGCTCCCTTGCCCAAAACAACAAATACATCAACCCTCCTAGGTGTTTACTATGGCAATGGTATTTTACCAAAATTGCATTTTTCTCTAGTAGGAAGTCATCATAATCAGTATTTCAACTAATGATTATAACCTGGGTTACAGGCTCACCCTTGAAATTAAATGGTGGTACAGACTGCAAAACCAGCCTGGGACATTCTGGGAATTAAGAGATGCTGCTGAAGGTATTTAGGAGATGCTTGTGCTGGTAGTCACATCCCAGACTTTCTGGAGTAAACACTCCCTCTCCCACCCCAGGCTTGAAAACCACACTGTGAAGCTGAGAGGACTTCTAGGGTAGAGCCAAACCCAGCCCTGCCAGCTTCTGCAGAGGAAAGGGAATTCATAACTACAGGGCCAAATCCTGACATTTCCTGTCAGGCAGAATTTCTTTGCTGTCCATGCAAGTTTTATTGGGCTGAGTTGTGGTGCAAGAAAAATAAAACTTTTAGTTATTTCCAACAGAGATCTGTTTAGTGAAATCTCATGAAAGAGATGCATAATATGCCTGTGGCTCTGGGCCTAGAAAAGAATTTGAAGTCTTGCGGATCTGGACCTCAAGCAGGGTAGGGGATAGAAGAACTGGCTATTTTTGTCAAGATGTATTAAATGAGGAGTTATTGCTTGTTTTCAGTAATAGCTGTTCAAAGCTGGTGGACTTATTCCTACAGAATCCACAAAACAGCAGACTGATAATTACACAAAGGGAAAGGGAGTTGAAATATTAACATCCTGTTTAATACATGACATGGATATAGATGCTATACTAAGAAAATAAAACTAAATTATTTCATTGTGCACAACATGGATAGTATGAAAAGGTACAGTAAGTGCAAACAGTTTTAACAAACAGAAACACAGTTGCTTTATATAATAAAATAACTAAATAAAATTAAATTGCTTAATCTTAATAAGAACATTGATATTATAATGCTTTCTGAATTTAATGGAACTGTATATATAAATGGAGGATGTAAAATTATTGTAATTTAAAATTATGTTAAGTCTCTTAGATAAGTAAAGGCATTTACATTGCTATTATGAGACTGTAGAATATTTTTATAATAATTGCTATTTTTCATTGTTAACCATATAGTATCTTGTTTTCTAAGTCATTGTATGCAGACAGAATGTACTTTATTACGCACTATATATGCAATCTTTTTACAATTACATTTTATACTTGTGGGCATTTTATGTTTATTGTATGAATATAATTAAAGGACTGAAATGAAAACACCTTTTTCATGTCCCTTGTGAAACTTCCCTGTCCAGACCCTCAAAAAGGCCACCAAAAGGCAAGCTAGTAACATCCAGTAAAAACATCTGAGATACCTAACAGACAAAATACTTCACAACAGCTAAACATTTAGTCTATTATGATACATCATGATCCAGTAACATCCCATTAATAAAAATAATTGATACATTCTTTAATATGGTCTCCTGCCATCTGCTTATTCCTGCTGCTAAGGCTTTGATTTATGGAAAGTATTTTCAGAATGTTGCAAAATTGCTAGCAGGCATGATAATATCAGTTAAATCACTAAGAAGCTCTACAAAAACCTTTTAATGTACTAGATGTTCCCCAGACAATCTAGGATAAACAGAATATTGTATTTTAAGATGTAAAACATTTTTTAAAGCCCATAATTAGGTACATTTGGCACTTAAAGATACTCACTTAAGGAAGTTAGTTAAGGATTCAGATTTCATTTTGAATTTCTAATACCAAAAGTGCTGCCTTCTTTAGAAGATATTTGGTGCTTTCTGTGCATGAAATGTTGCAAAAGTTGTTGACTAGTAATACAAATTTCAACTACTTATGCAATAGTTTATAATTTCATGTAAAACAGTGCTCATTTTTTTGTGTACATCAGATAAACATTTTATTTGTACTAAAGATTTCTTCAGTCTCTTTATTTTTTCAAATAATTAAGACACCCCTATCCGTATTAAAATTGAATATTATTATAAATATTATTTAAAGTTCAGTGATTATCTATGGAGAGAAGCTTTGCTTTTTTCCATATTTATTATGTACTTAGGATTTGACCATAAAAGGTACTCAGCTCCTTTGTGAAGGGACTGAAAGCCCCCACTTTGCTTTGTAGAAAGCCAATGCTTATCCTGTTTTGGACTCAGAGACTTAATGATTAAATAAACAATGACAGAAAATAAAATCAGAAGTTATTTCAGAGATTATAAAAGCCCTATGTGCTACACTGCTTGATTAAAAGTAGTGATGTTTGCAACTGACAGACAAACAGATTTAATGTCAGCGTCATTTGTGGTGACAGCCAATGGGAGATTAGAAGAAAATGTATGAAGTTGTGATAATAATCAGATCAAAAGTCTAATTATAAAGGAGACTGCAGCAGTGAAGTATGCCAAGGCTTATTGGTTAAATCACTGGTACCCATCAAGTTAAATATATACCAGTTTCATTAATTGGCAACCACAAGACAAGTGTTCTATATTCAGAGTGGTGATGATTTTGATATAATCCACCACATTGTGGTTAAGTATATGATTCATGTAATAAGAAGAAGGTGCCTCCAGGCTATTGTTCCTACCATGGATTAAAATTTACATATTGCTTCTCCTTATGTCAAAACATCTGGTGCCTGCAAATGTTAACATTTCGTTAAAAAGTTTCACAAGATAGGAAAAGTGGATTGGAAACATTGCATGTGAATCACTCAAGCATTATAATGGAATAAGAAGTTGAGTTATGAAGAGGCAGATTAAACAGTAGTATAGTCAAAGAGATTCATATGCTTATGAGTTCAATACAACACTTTGTATAAGAAGGAGAAACGCCTCAAATCATAGAAATAAGCAGTGAGGTTTTTTTCAAATGTCACTGATATATAAAATCTCAGTCTCTCCAAACTGTATTTTCTGGCCCAAATAAGATCCTTGTGTCTAAGCATATGTACTTAAGTGCTAAGATTGCGTTCAATACATTCATTTAATTCATTCACTTTAAGATGTTGGCATCCTTACCTGCCATGAAGTTTCCTGACTCTTATATTTACTTTCCTATTTTACAGCAGCATATATCAGGGTTGAATCTCAAAAGATTTCACTGGCAAATTATCTTAATTGTCTTGCCTCCTTAGAAAGCCTATCAGTCCTTGCATTAGCACCTAGATATAGACTTGAGACCTTTTCCTTTTGATTTCCAGGAGGGACTTAAGATATTAATTTTCAGTTACTGAAATTTTGTGGAGTTTTTTGGTTTTTGTGTTTTGTTTTTTGTTTTTGTTTTTTTTTTTGGTTTTTTAATGCTAGGTTGTCAAGAAAGCTACAGATTGTCAGAAAGTTAATCACAGATAGCTGTGATTAGCAGCCACATTACTGCTGGAAACTTTGTGTGAAAGGAGGCAATAAACAGTTTTCCGTGAAGGACCTTGATTCAAGTGATATCACATTTATTAATTTTCTGGAATCAATGCATAAATATTTCTAGATGGATGTTTTGTTGCGAAAGAGGAGCAATTCAAAAAGCAGTGGCTCTTCAAAGTGCTTTTGAATTTTTAAAACATACTCCTTGGATTAGAAATTTACTTTCAGGCTTCTAGAATTCTAGAATGTAACATTTATGTGTCCTGAATCGCCACAAAATCATACCTCTGGCATGTCTCAGGGCCACATGTCTGTGAAGCTGAGGCATCAGGGAGACAGCATTTGCTCCGTTCTGCAACCAGTGCCACAGCCAGAAGGTTCGAATGGAAGGAGCCTCTGGTGGTGAGCCCATGGTCCCATCTCTCCAGGGAAGGACACCTCCTCCCTGCCTCACTTTCCATCTGGATTTCTTCTTCAGATGGCTGGTCACAGGGCTCCTAACCATCCTGCCTCAAATCCAGAGCTGTGTCACTTTTCAATCCTGCTGACATCCAACAGGTTCAAAGTCTGCAAGTATAATACTGACATTACACAATCTGGTATTGGCCCATGATACAAGCAGGATTTGGCAGCATAGTTGAGCTCTTCTGCAGACCTCCCAGACTTCTGAGCCCAAGGAGATTTGAACAAGAGGGCAGCCAAAATCTCAGACCAAGAGCACTCCCTCCTACAAACCCTCTGAGAACATTAATTTTGTTAAGGGTGGTTAACAGGAGTTTTGGTTGGTTTTTATTTTTGAGCATTTTACTGAAAAAACACGTTTGTACATT